GCCCAGGCCACCAATGTAGTGCCTGGAACACCGTGGGTGCTCGGTAGGTATTTGGTAGGTGAATGAATGAATGGTTTGCCCTTTTCTGGGACTCAGTTGTCATTTCTATGGTGATGAGCTTGGCTTAATTAGTTCTCAGAGATCCCTCCAGATATGTAAAGTGACTATTAATCTGAGATCTGGATTTAGGCTTAATGAACTCGAATCCCAGGCATGCCACTTAATAGCTGTATAGCCTTGAATAAGTTGCTTTAACCAGCCTGGGCCTCAAGTTCTTCATCTGCAAAATGGGGATTTTTAACAATGTATATATTTAGGTTTTGGTGAGGATTTAAAGAGGCAATGTTTAGTGCAAGTGCTGGACCTATTAAAGCAAAACTGTCACTTGCTGTTAGCAGCTGCCTCTGCTACTGCTACTGTCATTACCACCAGCAGCATCATCTGCCCCTGTGACTCACTATCTTTTCAACATCTTTCTCTAAGGCTGATTCCCTAGCGAGTGTTCTGAGTGTGAACATAGCTAGAAGAGGCACCCATACAAATACTAAAAGTTAGAAAATGAGTCAGAGCCAATGTGAAGGCTGAGGGACAACAACAGCCCAAGGAAGCTGGCACTCGGTATCTCAGAAATCTCAAGCTAAACCCTGGTAGTATTGGATTTTTTAAATAAACCTTCAGCTATAGATGGAATCCAGCTCACTGTGCAGTTAGCCCTGAGCCTGCAGAACATGAACTTCTGGCTCAACAGTAGTCAGAGTGACCCTGATGGTTTTCAGCAGAGATTGGTGTGGGCGGCTTGAATTTACAGAGCATGTTCAGTCAGACTTCAGCCTTGGGTCAAGTATTCCCCTAAATCGCTAGTGATTTTTACATGAGATGAAAAACTTGGGACAGAGGAATGCCATTGCCTTTCTAAAGCCACACTGCTATAATGCGGGCCTTCTCCACCTTTTTTGGTAAAACCTCAGGAAGGCAGCCTGGCATGTAAAAATCAGGCTCTCTGACTCTCCCAGTGGCTAATCTAAATAAATCCCTTGCTGTCTCTGGCCTCAATTTCCCATTTGTTTAGCAAAGGTGTGAGCTCTGATATTTCTTCCAGCTTCAAAAGTCGAAGCTCTTGGACCAGCAGGTGGCGCAGTGGTTGTGTCGCTGGACTCCCACATGACTGGTGGAGGTTTGAGTCTCAGACCTGGTGGCTTCAAAATCACACCAAGCGTGTGTGCGTGCATGCCCAAGATCTCAGGAGGAGAAGGGATTGTGGCGTGGCCATCCCCCTGGGGAGTAATTTTTCACTTCCTCTCTCATTGTGTCTCTGTCTCTTTCTGGTCAAAACATGCGCTCTGAGGCAAAAACCTCTAAAAAAATATAAATAAAGTCTAAGCTCTTAGTGATATATGTACCCTGACTCTGTAAGTGCTTTAGTATTTTATTCCACGCTCACTGAAGACTTTACAGGTAGGTACGTGTGTTCCCCTTGGATAGCTGAGGTTTAAAGTTAAGTGACTTCTCTGAGGTCACACAGCAGATTAGTGACAGGGCTGAGGTTCAAACTCAGATTTGTATAATACTCAAATCCACATTCAAAGATAATAAGCCTCCTCCAAAGAGTTGTCAGAGAAAGGTGCGAAGAACTCTGAATCAAGCTTGCCTGAGCTGCTTCAGGACCGAACACTGTTCCTTGTGCTTATTCTCCCTGGAGCCCATTCCCAGCGTACTTCAACTCCTCTTCTGTGGGCCAGGCAGACAGAGGGCGGGAGTAAGTGTGATTCAGCAGAGATGTCAATGCCTCCTCCCATTCTCCTAGCCTGTCTGGGCTACAGCCAAGTGCGCTGCCAGAGGCATTTGGCTGAGTAACCTCAAGTTCAGTTAGGTGTGTAACGAGTGAGTCAATATCTCAATGGGGCCACACAAGGTCGGATATGTAGCCTCAGTCCTCGCCCTAAGCAATGGGATTTGGCATTAAATGGAGTTGGGGACATACTGGTCACACACAGGAGAGAGGCCTCAGTTTGGTTTTTGACCTGTGAAATGGAGTCGGGTTGGGCAAAGGGGTCCCAGGGATTTCTATGAGGAAGCACTGGACACTGTTCCAGGGAGAGAACTATAAACCGTCTAGACTCGATGCGAAGTCAGAAAGCAGAGTGGGAACCAGGTATCTAGCATTCACCTAAAAGCCTGCTCCTGCCTCCGACAGCTGCATATCCTGTATCACATTGCTCTATTTTACTGCCTTCATGCCCCCCGACATTGTCTGACATCATCTTGTTCATTCATTTGTTTACTTATTTATTATCTGTCTCTCTGGCCAGAAAGCAAGTATTTGTGAGCAAGAAACTTATATGTTTTAGTCACTGTTGGATCATCAGCTTCTAGAATAGGTAGTTCAGTATATATTTGTCAAATAAATGCACAAATGAAAAACAATCCTTTCTCTAAGTGACATAGAAAAGGCCCCAGGCAACTGGTAGACGTGTAGATTAGTTTTGCTCTTTTCCTGGCCACTGACCAAACACCTTTCAAGATCAAGAGATTGTAAGGGAAAAGAAAAGTTAGATTAAAAATGACTCTGGTCTCTCCCTGATCCAAGCATCAATACATATAATTAGTCTTTGAAATTTCTCTCCTACTGCTAGACTGTGATTTCACATGCCGAAGTGATGAGAGTTATGGACTTACAGAGTGGCCAGGGAAAAGAGGGTTACATTGGTTAATTATTAAAAATGAGTACAGTAGGTTTTATTCAGCCTACCCCTCCCCCTGCTCCTGCAACAGCTGGAGACACAAGTCAACCAACCTTGAATAGAGGGTTTGAAATATGGGCTCAAGCCATGGCTTGGTCATTAACTCCCCAGATGACCTTGGGGAGGTTTCTCTGTCTCTCTAGACTTGGGTTTATATTCTTTCCTTCAACATATGTTGAGCACTTACCAGATGATAGTCTCCAGCCTAGGAGAGGGGGATAATACATAGGGAATAAAAGCACACACATTAATCCAGAGTCTTTACTCTCATCAAATTTACCTCACCAGTTTTGTAGAAGGGTGAAAAAATAGATGATAGAAAAGTAAACAAGATAATAACATGTATGATAGTGGTAAATACAATAGAATAAAAATATAGACAGATAAATGGCAGGCCAGTGCAAAGGAATGTGTAAACTGAGTAGGGAGAGAGTAGCAAATACCTCTCCCTGGACGCAATGTAACAACTGAGAGACACCAATGACACCTCAGCTGTAAAGTTTGGAAGAAGATCTTTTCAAATAAATCCAAAGTCTTGAAGACAGAATGAATGCGACTCACTTGAAGGCCAAAATGAAGTGTAGCATGACTGGTGTTTAGTGAGTAGGAGAGAAGGGAGGGGATGACGTTGGAGAGGAAGATGGGATCAAACCACACGAGGCCTGCTGACACGGCATTTGAATCGTTTTCTAGAGCAACGGGAAGTTACCTTGTTTTCCCTCTAATTTTCTTTTCTCCTACATATCTTAACTTTGGAGTATTCCAGGGTCTATGGACCCCTCTCTCTTCTATCCAAGATTGCTTTTAGGGTGTCGTCACCTTGCCCCTTGACCTTCAACTTCTTGAAATATCATCTATGGGGGTATTTCACAAAGTTCATGGAAAATGAAATTAAAGTACAAGTTTATTTTGGTGCAAACTTTTTTTTTGAAGCTCATGCAGAGTTTTTCCATAATTTGCATTTTCCTTGAACTTTTAGAAGATCCCTTGTACATATTGATAATCCAGATTTGATAATCCAAATTTATACCTGTGAAGCAACCCTTCCCCTGAGTTCCAGACTTGTAACACAAGAGCTTGCTCAATGCTTCCACTTCACCTTTTTAAGGTAACTGAAATTCAGTATGTCAAACTAAATTCCTGATCTTGTCCTTTCATTTCACAAATCTGCGTCATCATAGTCCCCTCCATCTTTGGGAAAGGTGAATCTATTTGTCCAGTTTCTCGAACCAGAATACCTGGGGTCTTCCTTCATGCCCCAGTGCCCAGACGACCACCATGTCAGCGAACTGGTGGATCTTCCTTCAAATTATATCTAGAGTCTGATTGCTCACCATTGTCCACCTTTAGTTCAAACCACATCACTTCTTGTCTGAATTATTGTAGTGACCTCTCACCTGATCTTTTTGCTACAACTACTTTCTTCACAAGAGCACCCAGTATACTCCTTTACTTGTTTTTTTTTTAAAGAATTATTCACTTTTATTTTGAATAAGTTTTCAAAAAAATTATTCTATTTGTCTATCTATTTATTTATTTATTTTCACATGAGTTTGCCAGAGAAAGACACACACACACACACACACACACACACACACACACACACAGAGGTAGCAAGCTGCCAGGTCCAGGACTGTGGTTGGCCATGTGGGAATTCCAACACCCTAACCACCATGTCACCTGCTGTACCCCCCATTTTTTAAGAAAGAATTTTGCTATAGAGTGCATCCACTCACCAGAGAGACAGAGAAGGACAGAGAGGCAGAAAGTGAGAAATCACCCCCCAGGGGGGATGGTCACGCCGCAATCCCTTCTCCTCTAGTCTCATCTTCAGATTTTGGACATGCATGCACATGCTCCTAATGTGACTTTTAAGACACCAGGTCCAGGACTCGAACCATGGTCAACTACATGGGAGTCCAGCAACGTAGCCATTATGACATCTCCTGGTCCCAAATGTGCTCCTTTAAAAATGTGACCAGCAGGTGGCTGGATGCAGTATGGCCAACTTTGCTGTTCATGTCTCAAACCCAGTGGCCTGAAAAATCATGCCAGGCACGTGTGCATATGTCCCAAAATTCCAGAGAGGAATGGAGGAGAAGGAATTGTAGTGTGGTCACCCCTTCCAGGGGGTAATTTCTCACTTTCCCTCTCTTTCTCTCTCTTTCTTCAATGAGCAAATTAAGGCCAAAAAAAAAAAAATCTAAATAAAAATAATAAAAAAAAGGCCATGCCACTTCTTTGAATCTATCTTTTAATCACCTCTGTCCAAGATTTTCCCATCTCACTTAGAACAAAGGGCAATGTCTTCCCCATGGCCAGCATAGCCTCTCCCTGCTGTTTCTTGGACATACCAGACATGCTTCTGCCTCAAGCCTTTGCCCTGGCTGTACCCTCCACCTGAAGAATTTCCCCAGGTATTCACAAAGCTCATTCTCTTCCTTCTTTGCTCAAATGATCCTTGAATGAATGAGGCCATCTTCCGGAGGCACTTCCTAACTGTTCATATAAAAATTGCACCCCCTGCACTCCTTATGTTATCTTTTATTGTCTGCATCCCTGAGCAGGACGTGTGCTCCCCAAGGTCAGAGATTTTTGTTCAGTTTGATTACTGTCTATTACTAATAGCTCAAACATTGCCACCACAGACAAGGGACCCACAAATGCTAAACATTGGGTAAATGAGAGGGTTTTGAGCAGGGAAGTGATGGGATATATTTTACAAAGATTGTTTGGCTGTTAGATGAGCAATGGGAGGAAGCAGGGACACCCCTCAGTGGCTCTGGTGGTGGTTAGGAGTAGATGATGGTAGCTTATTCTAAGATGTTATGGGGAAGCTGCTGAAAAATGGGCAGATTTGGAATGTACTTTAGAAGCGCTGACAGGATTTGCTGACAGATTGAATACAGATCGATGATGAAGAATCAAAGATGAATCCTACCTCTAAACAGCTGGACAAAGGACAGTGCCATCATCAAGGTGGAGGAAACTGGGAGGGAACTCACTTCATTCATTACTCACTTCTTCAAGGGTGGAATTAAGGATTCTTTGTGGGAGGCACACTCAGGGTCTTTGCTTTTATTTCTTTCGGCTTAAACACCCAAATGAAAACACTGAGCCAAGAATTATTGATATAAATCTAGAGCTCGTGGGTTAGGTCTAGACTGCACACATGTATTTGAAAGCATGAGCATGTTTAAAATAAATTGGATGACTATGTCCTCCTTTACTCTAGAGGAATTTATGTGTACTTAGGTGGAAGGGAAGGGAGGAAGTACAGCCACAGGAAAAGTTAAGCAAGTGACAGAGAAGTAGTATTGTCAAGTTGGGACCTCTCTTCAGGCACATACACGTGTATGCAGCAAATCAGTCTCCCTCGTTCTAGTTCAAGAGCTATCAAGATACGGGGGACAAGAAAACTCTACTCTTTATTTTGATAGAATGAATGAATGTTCTTCCCACCTTCCTAGGTTAGAGAATCCTGATGGTTAAGCTTGAAATGTATCTTTGTCCTTGGTATGGACACACAAAGATACACAATGATTACAGCCAGGATGCCAGGGAACTCAAGTGAATGGGACAAGATCTTGAGCTGTCCAGGTGTCTTTGGTCAAGGTTATGGTAGAGGACGATTGTCCTCTATTTGTCATTCTCTGTGAATAAAGAAGGGATAAATAGTTATCGAGCGCTTAGTGTATGTTCTTATTTAGTACCTTTCACTTCCATTTATTGAAATCTCCCTGTAATGGATGAGGTAGGTGGCATTATCCCCACTTTTTAGGCCCCAAAACTGAGGCCAAGAGAGGTGGTAAATTTTCCAGGGTCAAAGAGTGATGTCCTGGCAGACCCTGAGGTCTGACTTGAAATTTCATGCTCTTTCCAACTCAAGAGCACAAAGAAGTACAAAATAAAGTTTCTTTTGTATTATATCACGTATTTAAATTCAGTTTGCTTTCCCTTCCCAAACAGCCTTTTCTTAGACTAAATATTTTCCATTCTTTCAACTTTCATTTGTTTTTAAACTTACCGTTAGCTTATTATAGTCCCAATAGAATAGAATAATCCCTTTCTTCTCCCTTATTGAGGCCTCCATACTTCTTTTAATACGGTCCCAGTGATACTGCCTTTCGGAGAATTCTCGCTGTACCCAAGGCTTGTGTCTTCTCCTTTGGTTTATTGTAGCAGTTTATTTATTCACTCTTTAAAGCAAGCAGGCTACCTGGCAGAATTTAATCAGAAGATTGTGTAACTATGGCAAGAGGCTGCCCAAATCCATAACTATAATGAGAGAATAGGAGACAGGAGACTTAGATTAAAAGGCAGCTTGCTTTGCCAAGAGGGAGACTTCAAAGCCCCCTCCTTTCCACCT